TAGTTATCCAAGCCCTATCATCCAACTAACCTATCTCCTTTCAAAACACCTTTGTATCAATCTACCTTTAAAAACGATTAGTCCCTTTTCGAACTTTCTTTTTTAGATATGTTGAAAATAAGTAGTTAATTTTTCAAATTTATCGAAACACTTCCTTCCCGAAAATTGTTAACAATTAGAAACTTCCCTTTTTTGAAAATTTCACGATCGAAATTACTTTTTTCCTCGAAATTATTTCTTTTTCAATTGACTTTTGTACTAGTTTCGAAAACACGTCCCAATTAATTCGTTAGTTCCACAAAATTTCAAAATACTTCAGAATTAAATCACCCGTTTTCACAAATTTCTTTGAAAATCTTTTCCGTTTGAAATTTTCCTTCTGAACTTATCTTTTGCATGAATTAATTAGTTATTTCTCAAAATTTTGAATTTAAAAGTACTTTTGAACTCGTTACTTCTTTCTGAAATTTCTTTGAAATATTTTAAAATTAATTAAGTATTTTTCTTTGAAATTTCTTTTTTTTTTTTGAATTTTCTTGAATACTTTAGAATTAATTCATCTCTTTTTTTGGAATACCCTTAATTTCTTTCCAAATTCCTTGGAATTCTTTTGCAACTCATAATTAGCCCTTTTTTGAAATTTTGAATTCACATTTTGAACTTTGAAATTCATTACTTATTTTTACGCATTATTTCCAAATTTCTTTTCTTTGCTAACATTTCTTTAAATTCACGTTCGTAATTAATCCCTTCCTTCGGAATTAATTATTATTTTTTCCAAATGCAAGGAACATGTGGACGAAGCAAAAAAATCCAGAATGCAATATCACACTGAAGTCCAAGTATTCAAAGCCAAAGCAGATAGTACAATGGAACCGAGTAACCATCCAATTGAGAATGATACAGAAGAATCGTGAGTCAATGTCCATGCCCAACAGGGCAACACCAACAGCATAACCCAAATGTAGCTCTCTCTTGTGAATGGCGCCAGGCGCCCTATCTACTCTACAGCCTATCCTACAACTACAGCAATGAAAGCAACCAGATAACTTGACTACCAGCGAGTGATGATGTCAACACCAATGCCGACCTCCACCATCACCAGGTACGTGTCCTCTTCCCCACACTCCCCCTTGTTACCCACACAGCGCCCTTCACCTCCGAAGACCACCTTCGCCCTTCACCCTCACTGCACCCTCATGCGGCCCGGCTATGGCCGCCAGTGCCTTGCATGCAGGCAGTGCCCTACCGCCTAGCGCTTGCTTGCTTCCCCTTAGCGCAGCGCTGCTCATGCATAGCGCAGCACACTTGCATCCGCGCAGTGTGCCCGCAATGCCAGCATTGGCCAAGATCCCAGCCCACTCGCCCTGCTTGCCTATATGCCAGTGCTGCGTGTGGGCGGCCTCCCTTCAGCCTGCGACAGGGCCCCAGTGGCTGAACCCAGGCCCATTATAGTTGGGGCCCGGGAGATGCAGTTGTGCCTCTCTCGGCAAGGCCTGCGGCCAGATTCAGATAGTGGGCCGGTTTCCCTTTGCATTTTCGGCCTCTATACCCAGCGTGCATAGTCGGCCTGACGTTCAGGAGCCCAAGGCCTAACTAACTCAGAGGCCCTGGGCATTTCAGCATTTGCTAAGATTCGAAACTCGGTGCACTCCAACCAACTGGCGTGCTGTAACTGTAAGGACCCCACTTCGTGAAATGTATGCACAAAGGGCTATTATTGATTTGCTGGCCTGCCTTCACTTAGGGCGGGCACGAGGCTTGCTGGGGCCTTAACCCAGAACATGTACATCATGGCAAGGCCACTTTTTGAGGGCTCATTCCTCACATTCCATCCCCCTTAGTTCGAAAGTCCGCTGAGATGCTTACTTCGCAGGTGCCTTCCTTTTTAGCTTCCGTTCATAATCTGCCACCACCTGAGGAGCTGTTTCCATCAGTTCCTCCCGAGTAAACCACCGATCTTCTTTTGGATCCGTATGATGCCTGAATCTGATCCGGTACTCCCTCTTGGGTTTAGGAGGTCTTCCTCGACCCAGCGGTTTCGGTACAGGCATATCCCTGTGATCCACAATGTCGTCGATGTCGACTTGTCCATCCATGGTTGGGGGAAGCATCGATCTCCTGGAAGGGAATTGATCAGTCTCAGCGAAAGGTGCAAACTTTGAGGCATGAAAGACTGGGTGAGTGCGTAGGTGTCCAGGGACACGAATGACATATGTGGGACCATCCAACTCATCTCCCACTACATCCAAGACTTCCCAGGGACCAAAGTACTGAGGCATTAGTTTGCGAGATATTCCGAACTCCTGTCCTAACTCACTAGCCTTGACCCAGACACGTTCCCGTACCTTAAATGTGGACTGTCTGCAATGTTGATTCTCAGAAGCAATCATGGCTTGCTGAGCCTTCTTCATATGTTCAACAGCCTCTTGCAGCAACTTCTCATATTGCACATCGTATTCAAGTGTGCCTGGAGTTGCAGCGGGTCGGTTTTCAGGTAGGAGGAAATCTAGTGCTGATCTAGGCTTCCATCCTAAGTAGGAGGAAATCTAGTGCTGATCTAGGCTTCCATCCTAAGTGCAGTTGGTTAGGACTAACGCCTGTACTACTATGTATAGCATTGTTGTACAGGCTGGCGATGAGAGGTAACTGCTCATCCCAATCATCCTGGCTGGGCTTGATGTAGTGCCTCAACAAGTGTTGTACAACTCTATTCATTTGTTCGGCCTATCCGTTGGCTTTGGGATGATTCCCTGAAGTCATCTGAAGTTGACTGCCCATCTGTTCCGCAGTCTTCTTCCACAGCTCACTTGTGAATCGGACGTCTCGGTCACTAATGATGGTCTTTGGTAAATTAAAGTCCCTTACCCAGTTGTCTTTGAACAACCTGATGACGTATTCTGTCCTGACTGTCTCTGGCATTGGTACTAGTCGAGCGTACTTGATGAATCTGTCAATGATGACGAAAATGTGCCTCTTACCACTCTTGCTGGTCACTAGGGTGTCCATGAAATCCATGGAAACACTCAGTCCTGGACCATCAGGAATAGGTAAAGGCTTCAATAACCCAAGCGGTGCTTGAGTTCGCGGCTTGTCCCGCTGACAGACCTGACAGGTCTCCACATACT